TATTTGTCTTCATGCCTTGTGGTTCACTACACTTGTTTACAATACAAATACACTATTCAATACAAAATACTCAATGACCATATATTAGTATTTTTCTTCATAATATCCCTGAAGTGCACAGGCCCTTCCTTTATAAACAATGTTGCATAAACTGCTGTACATGAGACAGACACTCCTATAATGAAGCTTGTTACTAAAAGAAGCCAGATGCAGACAATTCAGACATTTTCCTGCAATGGGTTTAACTTTGGGACGGACAAACGGTGATGTCTTTGCTGCTGTGAAAGGCTGTTTTATGCTATTCCTATGTCAAAGTTCTTGTCACCCAGAAGATAGGCTCAGTAACAGGAGCAGACATGCAAAGTTAAATCCTTCATAGCCTATTTCAGACCTCTTACGTCACACAGTGTATATATGACTGCGCCCACCGGTGCTGCAGCTGCTCTCACGTTGAGCCCAAGTCCTTTTGTGAACCCACGTGGAGGGAAGCCAGCGGACCCACGATACTACACCACTGTGAAAAGCTGACTCAGCCAAATTAATGCAGCCCTCACGCTTTCAACCTGTGGTACCTGTACCTCCCCTCGCTAGAGCAAAGCCCCTCTCCCACCACCACTCCTTCCACTGCTCCTCAAGGAAGTAGAACCACCCAAACTTCTTGCCTCACTTAGTTTCCAGGCACATGATGGAGAAACAAGGTTCAGTAGTGAAAAGGAAGATGAAAGGACAACTGGAAAGGTAGATAAACAGGCATCCCAACCTAGTTTACCTTCAGCAGCTTACAGAATCAGAAACCTACCTAACATCTATAGGAAACAGGTAACATCCACATAGAAATCAGCCATTTTCAGAGTATGAGAGTGGTAGCACAGGATTTTCCCAGCTGTGCTTTACATCCTGTAGATCATACTGCTTCCTGCTTTTCCACTGTAGAGTGAGGAAGACACATAAGACCAGAATGTAAATATTGCCAATGAAAAAGATTAACAGTCTTAAAAACAAGTTCCTTAAAAAAATTTACAGTCTTAATAAACTATATTTAAAAAAAAATAAATCATAGACAAAAATGGGTAAGAGGCTTAAAATAACTGGAATTTTTTTCTCCTACAACACTGTAAGCCTAGCGTGGAGGGGTTTAAAAAGGGAATTTGGGATTTACACATGCCAGGGTGCTTTGATCTGGTGAGCTCATGGTGACTTAAGCCCCTTCTGTTCCCTGCAGCTCTGAGAACTGAACAGGTGAATCTTTCTAGACACAGAAGTTAAAAATTCCTAGTTCATGACTGGACAAAATGCTCTTGCTAACGGTGTACAGCTATAGGAAATGCGCTAGAATGAAACAGAAAATTGGAACAGAAGAAACATGAACACTGAACACTTCCAGATGTTGTAAGAGAAACGCTATAATAAATTCTATGAAGTACCTTCTTGTACAGGATTTAAGCCACAGTCTCCTTACAGCTGTGACGAGTGAATTACTCAGCTCTTTACACACACACACACACACACACAGAGTCTGAAACCTCTGAACTGCAGTCTGTTAGCTTTACCCCAGCACACAAAGCCAAGTTTCTGTTGTTTCCCCTCTGCTCTACTCGAACTGTCCCTGGGAAAGCCCTTCAGAAGCTTCTTTCCTACCTCACTGAACAAACTACTGCCAGTAATTCTTCCACTCAGGGCAAACCTGCGTGGCAACTGCAGCTCTTACATGCTTACTGGTTAAATGTTACATCGTTTCTGTCAGCCCTTCAGCTAAGTTGAGATGGTGTAGGAATTGATAGTGCCGGAGTGTGAATTGTTACTTTAGTGACAGAGGTATCATTAAGGAAAGCTTTCTTCACATCATCCCAGTGATACAAATAAAATCTTGCATTGTCACTGAAATCCTGGCAATGCTTTGGCAAGAGGACAGCTGCTTGAAGTTAAGCAATGCAATTGCAGAATGACCAGGAAACTGTCTTCGATGCAGCCTGCACACAAGTAGCAGAGCACTCTTTGGTCCAGGCAATTAATTCATGGAAATAATTTGTCATTGATGGTATTATTCATTTTCTAAGAAAGAGGACAGGCCAATGATCCAACCCTTGTTTCTGAGTGGCAGGATTTGATTAGATCAATATTTACAAATCAGTTTTTGCAAACTGGGGTACTGTTCTTGGACAGCACATGCTTGCTGTGGAAGAGCTCAGAGATGTTATGTTTTTTACATTAAAAATAAGCCCAAACTAGATTTCTGAATTCCTCTGAGTTCCAAGAGTTAAGAGGGGGGATTTAAAAAAAAAAACAAAAAACCAAACACAAAGCCCAACACAGAAAAAACCCCACAATAAAGCATTTTACACTGGAGACACTGGAAGGAAGCTTACTTAAAACCAACTGCTAGTGCTGAACAGTATTTATCTCAATGCACCATACCTAGCAGACTGGAGAATTTCAGTAGTAATTCACCATTTCCCCTGACCAGAATTATCTCCTCACGTATTCCATAGGTAAGAAGCAGTAATGTGCTTAGCTCCTTCATTTTTTACAGCTCCCATTCTGTAAGAGTATTTCAGTTGAAATTCTATGATAATAACTGCACAGCACAAGCTGCAAAGCAGTAATCACGCTATCACCATGGCTGGGGAAAGCCTGCCTTTCCGCTTTCACCCCCACAAACTTACAATCACCTCTTGCTGCTCGTGCTTTTAAAGCTTCTTTAGAAATGCTACCTTTAACATCATAACCTGGCAGGTTATCTGCATTTGTGCAGCATTAGAGCTGCTGCCCAGAATTAATAATTTCAGCTAGTCAAAGATCATTAACTTTGCAACTTTTTGTTCTTGTGCGTTCTTTAAGAACACTAATCAGTATACACGTCAGATTCTGTCCTCAGTAACACATAAGAGGCAGGGCAGCAAAATCTCAAAGCGTGCTCCTATGCAAAGAAGAGCTAAACAATGAGGAACTTCAGCCCTTCTGAAAATGAGAAAGCTGCAATATTTAAATGAACATTGCTATTATATGTGAATAATATACTAGTGTAAGAAATTGTTCTGATAGTGCTTACCTCCTGAATTAATCAGCTTTCCTGAGACTCTAGAAAATTACCCCACTGAATTTACTGAGCTAGAAAGAGAGACCAGTGTGACACTAACACAGTCCTAAGCTAGACAGAATCCCTCCCCAGTGGCTATTTTATGACAAGAGCTGCGAGCCTAATAACCTTGGAGATCACAAATATTCTCTTAGTTCAAGCTAAAGAAGCCTGTGCGCAACAGCAGAACACCTGAAGTGTAACCCTCGTTATCCCCACCAAGCCCACGCAGCAGCAGTGTGATGGATCCCTAGCAGACGAACATGAAATTCGGAGCAGCCCCTGACTCAGGCTTCCCAACACAGGAGCACAGCCCCGTTAACCAACCACCACAAACAATTTTGGCATTCGTCTAAAAAAGGGTTTTAGTTCTGTGTATCAGAGATGTCAGAAAGGCAGGTTAGGAAAGCACATTACCTCCCCCCTCTTACGCTTTTTTTATAAGGGTGGTGGCCCAAACCAAGCCCTCTGATTTCAATCTGCACATCTCAAAGGTTAGCAGTACGTATATGCAGATTCTGGTTTGTTCCCTTATGAAGACAGGAAGCTTACCTCAATGTTTGGATCCAGGGCCAGATTCAGAGTCACTTCATTGAAATGAAGAGTCTCAGACTGAAGAACACCTTCACATTCCTTTGCTGATGCTCCAATACACCCATTTCTATGGAAATAGGCACTCCTTTTTTGGATAGCGTTCATGTTAAAACAGCTCCTTGCAACCCTAAGTTGAAGTTACTAATGCACATCTTTACATGTAAATTATTTCCTACATCTATGTTTTGACAATACACTTAACTGGAATATTTTTCATGCACAAGGTGTACAAAATGAGTCAATGCAGTGTTTGTCTTTAAACCACTATCATACACATATTTTGTTAAAGGAATGAGGGTTCTAAACTTTTCAAATACAGACAGTATCTGGCATCCGGATTGTGGCACGATGTAGTCTTCCGCCTTTATGTTGTTGTTTGTACAGGGTATGTCAAAGGCTATTGTAAGCCTCTTGAGGTATGCAGGTGGCTGTCCATTTTCAGGGCATGGTGAAAGTTTCTTTCATGACCATGGTCCTTTAAAACTTCACCTTGGTTCCACTTGACACGCACAAGTTCATGATGAAGAACATTCCTACTTTTGTAGGACAGAAGGAATTTTAAAGGGCTTTACTTAGTTTTAGTGCCTAAGCACAGGAAAAAGAAAACAAAACAAAAAACCTGGCCAAACAACCCCTCTCCAACCCAGAATGCCTCATAGCATCTACACCCATCCTCTATGCTTCCTCTCCTCTCTCTTTCAAGCGATGCAGTATGACCAATGTCTTTCTATTGCCCTGCCAACATCCCTATAACCACTGTGCATTCAAGGACTCTTGAAGACTGGACTGTAGCTGGAACACAACTTGGGAATGTGCCATCGCGTCACCATTCAGCGCTGTTGTATCGTTTTTCGGTTTGGATAGAGGATGCTCTCCCCAAACCCGCTACAACCTCTGCCAGCTGCAGGAGATCTCCAGGTGTTCCACAGCAACCACAAATTTGGCACGGAAAACCCCAGACATGAAACACTCAAGGCAGTGAGCCGCGGCTTTACACTTAAGCGGAGAACGCACAACTGAGAAAAGCTCACAGGAAGGGCATGACAACAACCATGCGTATGAGTTGATGCAACAGCAGCTGGGCCTTGCAGTTAAATCTGTTTCCTGTATCCTCCCTCCCCCTTGTTTCTTTTACTGTATTGGGGCTCCGGTGATTTGAAGCCTCTCGGGTTAGTTGAAATTACAGCTTCGAGGGTGGCACTTTTGGAGCGAGTTGGCACAAAATGGAAGGTAATGCCGTCAGATCCCTTGGTCATGGTGTATTGGGTAACAGGACATCTCTTCAAGGCTCAGGGGCCACAGGGGGAAAAGTCAAGAGGGTAGAGGGCTCTCACGGCCCCTGCTGGGTTATGTGGCTCTTGTTTCTAAGGACAGGGTCCTCGTAACTGGTAGCGCAAGGTGGCGTGGAGGCTTCCAAGGGTAAGCCCTGCTGTTGGTATCCATAGTTGACATTCCCACAGGGGAAGTGGCGGAGCCTAAAGAGAGGCACTTCTTTAACACTTGCTGTTAGGGAAGATGGCTCTAATAGCAGGGAGGAGCCTGGCAGCCTGCCAGTCACAATGTTGGGCCCCACAGTACAGTTTCCTTCCTGTCCCAAATTCTCCCTCTCGGGCATCTCCTTCTCCAGCACAGAACTGTTTTTGCTGGCCTGCTTCTCTGCAAACCAGGAACCGTAGGTTGGATTCCAGAGGTTGGTGGGCTTGTTTCTGGAGCCCCGGCTTTTGTGCAGCTCAGAAGGGGGATTGGACTGGGCATAGGCCATGTTGATATGTCCCCCGGCTGAGGCTGACTGCACCTTCCCCGGCACTGGCAGTTCCAAGGCTCCCACTTTCCCTAGAGGTTTTCCAGCAGTCATTGCTGACGGCAGGGGTGGTGGAGATGGCAGAGTTTGCTTGTCATCCTTTCTGTCTTGGTGCATGGAGACCAAGAGAGGAGGAATTCCTTCTGGATCGTCGGGCCGCATCGCTACCTTCTCCTCCTCCTCAGAATATGGGCCATATTCTACCGGCAAAGCAGTGTTGATGACATCTGGATCCTGTCAGAGAGAACAATGAGAATTTCTCAAAGTCTGCATACTCGGACTTGATTAAAAACTTGACACATCTGACAGCTGTCATGCTATGATCACAGAGCATTGTTCCCACCACCCAGAGCCCACATTCCATGTGTAGAGGATGCTGACAAAATGCAGTTAGCTGTGAGATGCAATAGGATACCCTTAAAATTGAACTCTCTAAAAAAAAAAGCAACCCTAAAACTCACCACAGAACAGCAGAGGCACAAAAACAATGAAACCACTTTTTATGTCCAGCAAATTTCCTGTGGGAATGTTGTTTTGGAATCTATATAATCTCAAAGTTCATAACATTCTCAGATAATATTGAGAAAGTTTCAGCTATGAAAGTATTGCCTCCACACAACAAGGGAGGAATGGGAATGCAGAGAGAAGGCAATACTGGCAGACCCCTTGAAACCCGAATCCATAGGGACTGCAGTTCTGAGCTATTTAAGCAGTTTTGAAAATTAAACTGAGAGAAAATGTGATGATCTGGGCAACCTTTAATTATTGCTAGACGCCATGGCAAGCTATAGATAGCAGAAAACAACATCTCCCAATCCCAGGATCCAAACACACATGAAAAACAGACCAAGCCTCCCAAACAGCAAGGAAAAGCAAACTGACTGAGGCGAATAACTGTGAGAGGCCACACAAGAAGCCTGCGCTAATGCAGGCAGCAAAACGTTTTCCAAACTACTCCACTTCTCATAAGCTAAAAATGGTGGTAATAAATAAATAAATAAATCAGATTCCGGCCTGGAAAGCCAGCCACATCCTTTCCCCATTGCCTTTGGCCTGGCTGTCTCCACCTGCCTTCTCCAGTGCAGTCAGATTCAGAAAACTGCCGACAGCTGCAGAAGCCACCTGCAAAGGGTGCTCTGTGCCAGGACAATTTCTGCTCAGTGCTGACCGTGTCTTAAGGGAAAACACTGGGATGGAGTGGCTGACATGAAGCACGTACGGATGCTGGCCTGTACGGAAGCACGTACGTGAAGTGCGTACGGATGCTGGCCTGTCTTAGCTCTTTTGCTTGCTGGAATCTGTGCCTTTATAAGCAGAAGCAGAGCTACAGGTCTGCTATTTGTAAAGCTCTGTAAGCTTGTGTAAGTCAGCAGTGAAAGACAAGAAGGATCAACGACCCGATGAGGTAAATATCCCAGCCACTGGTCCCAGGCTGACATTGGTCTCCCTGGAATGCTGACTACAGTAACGCAGTGCTGCCTTCTCATCTCGTGTTCTGGCTCGCCTAGACCGCCCCTCAAGAACAACTCTCTCCACCCATCTCATTCGAGATGAATGAACACCGATACCTGAGTGCAGTACTCAATCCTCTCCAGGATTATGGCAAAATTTGGCCGGTCTTCAGGCTGGTGCTGCCAACACTGGGTCATAATGCGGTAACTGAAAGAGCAGAACGGGAGATGCTCATAAATGGCAGATCCTGTCGGTACATAACAGCTAGTCACTGCAGCTTAGAAACCATAAGCATGCATCACCACTCTGACTTCTAATAAATAAGAGTGCTCTGCCTTCCCCAGAGTCGGACAACTGATGTACTGGTAACCACGGAAATGTGGCCACCGGTGGGGTGAAATCCACAGCACATCAGAGAAATAACTCACCCACCCGAAATCCTTTGGTCAATTCACTAAGGGTAGGCAGGGCTACAGATAATGGAGCCCAGTTTTCCCTACCTGCGAACAGTCTTATGCACTTGCAGTTTCACAGCTAACCTAAGGCACAGAAATACTGCACCATCTTTGACCAAAAAAGCAGTGGCCGGTACTTCTCAAAGGGGCCCTGAATTATTCTCTAAAACAGACAGAAAAATTAAATAGTAGAGAAGTCACAGGCACTCAAGTCCAATAAGGCAGATCAGCCATGATAAGATCAATCTTAAAAGTCATTAACTTTTGACTAGAGAACAGCATTTGAAACAGAAACTTCTTTGCATGAATATATCAAAGTTAAGATCTCATACACAGGGCCAGGGCAGTTTTTAGGTGGATCCATTCTTCCTCCATTGGTGACAAACTCCAGAACCTCCTGGTTACTTTTGCTAGGGTAGGGCATGTATCCCAAAGAGAATATCTCCCACAGCAATACGCCAAAGGACCTGAATACAGAAGCAAAGGAAAACAAAGTGAAGGATACAGGAATGACCATCCCCAAGGGGCAATGCCCTTAGGTGCAGTACCATCAGCATTGCTCTTTACAGTCTGTGCTCAGGCAGCTTCTGGAAATCACTGCTGCAGGATTCAGACATAAATAAGCTGCAAGGTTCTAATGGTGGACTTTGAATCATTTAATGAATACTAGTAGTTGACTGTTAAGTGAGTGAAGTCTATGATATAGGTAGGTAAATATGGTTGCTTTGCCCTTGTACTCAGCACTGTTCAACTAGATGTAACAAATGTGAAAGTCAGGTTATGCTTTTCTGAGACATCAGGCACTGCTGGAGACAGGACTGAGTGGAGCAGTGGCCTCATCACTTACGACAAACTTTTCCTCTTGAATAAGCTACCCTGCGTGAAATAACATGCCAGTGAATCCCCACTGATGCTCTGAGCCCCATAGCCCTCACCTGTAGCTCAGGGTAAAATAAAAACATTCCCTAGCTAACACCACAGCCATGGGCCTGGGTGGTGTGGCCTGCAAAGCCCTGGGGACAATGGCTGGGACAGGACCCCCTCCAAAGCATTCATCTGGTCAGCTGCTTGGAAATCACAATCTTCTTGATTAAAATTGCAAAGAGCTACGTGCAGCAATACGAAACTCTTCTGCTTGGTGCTGAAGCAGCTCAGCTTTATGAGAGAGTGTACCTTCACCTGGGGTTTGCTCAGGAGCCGTGTCCTGACCACCAGCCCCTTCCCGTCCACACACGGCCCGAGCTCTTGCCTCCTGCTCACCCGGTTTCCCTCCCCCTCCTCTGGCCACCAGCAACTCAAGTGCTGCTGCAGGCCAGGAGAAAGATGAAAGCCACAATACGTGATGCCCTTCTCCCTCACTGGCAGGATGGATCCTGCCTGCAGTCTCCCATGCTGCTTTCCTCAGTGTGGAACTGATGCCTTCCTCCCTGTAGCAGCAAAGCACCACCTGCATCTGCCTCAACCTCCCTTCCCTGCCTGCTCACCTCCCCAGCAGCACCTGCCTTTGCACAGGGCTGATCTTTCTGTTCCCTTGTCTCTTCCAAGATTACTGGCTCTGAAAGACCCCGCTTGTCTTTTTAGTAAAGGAGAAATGAACAAGAACATCTGTTTTTTACAAAATATTCACACTTTACAAAAGGCATTACAACACAGACAGACTGACCGGACAGAGAAGGAAAGGAAGCGTACCATGTGTCTGTTTTTGACGTAAATATCCCTTCCATGAAAGCCTCAGGAGGCATCCATTTGACGGGCAACATTGCACACCCACCCTTCCGATAGTAGCTGGCTCTGCAAAGAACAAACAAAACAAAGAGTCAGCCAAGAATTCAGAAAATGCCATTAATTTGGGATTTTTATAATTACAAATATTAAAATTATGAGCCAGAGGAGAGACTAATTTAGGCGAAACATGGCGGAGAAAATGCTGAAGAGACCTGTTCCTTCTCACAAAAATAGTGGAAATGGGCAGACCATGGAAGGACTGCTCTAATCTTCCTCGCTTTAGGCCTGATCTGGTGAACCCAAGTTATCCCTATCTGCGTGCATGCTCCTAGTGAATTACTCACACAGTACGCTGCTGCTGGCAGAGCCATCCTCCTGCACTTTTCAGCCACAGCCAGATCTCCACCTCACCTTGAGCATCCCCACCAAAAATAAACAAAGCCTGTCCCATATGTACCCAGTCTAAAGCACTGCAAGTGAAATTCAAAACCCTTTATAAGAATGGGGAGCTTGATGAGGAGGATGCTTGGCCATTAGAGCTGGGGCAGTAGTACAAAAACCACCTCCCGTGCTCCTGAGACAAGAATTACATCAGTCCTTTAGTGTCATTTAAAATAAAACCTACAAGCTCCAAATCCTGTGCTGGCAGCTGCAGGAGGCTGCTCATGCAAGCTGGCATCACCGTTCGTAACTGCACAGCCTGAGCATCCAAAGGACATTCCTGGACACAGAAACATGCGCAAACTTCAAAGGCACCTTTGAAAACTCAGCACCAGAGTGTTCATCTTGGCAGTCGGTTCTGCTGACTGTGTGAGTGTGACAGATGCTACTTTGTCCCAGCAGAGTCCCATCTGACAGCGGGGCAGAGTGGGGGCTCTTTGTGAACGGAGGGAGAGGAGAGGAAAAAAAAGCAGCCCTGATACACTTGCGTTTTTGAAGGTAGCACTCTGTTTGCATCACCTCAGGCTGTTGATACTGTCAGATCTCAAGCTGAGCAGAGGCCTGGCTTAGTAATTGCACAGGAGAATCCCCAAGTAGGAAAAAAAGAAGGCAAGGCACTGGAATAAACAGTGCGGGTGACTGAGTACAAGGCATTCCTTTCTCCGAGTCAGAGGCAAATCAATTCCTCAGCACAGCAGGACATGGTCCTGCACTTCTGGAGGTGCTATTTGGAAGATGAGATATCAAACTGCAGCCCTGACTGCTCGTGGTCATTAAAGATTTCCTGACACTTCTTGCAAGAGCAGAGTAGTTAACCCTGTGTCCTGGCTGAATTCCAGTTTGGGCGATTACATTTTCCTGACCTTCCTCTGCACCTTCCTCCTTTATCTGCAGTAAATTGAGGAGATTTACTGATGACACCAAACCAAAGGGACAGGGGTAGTATCAAGGAGAGAGATTAAACTCAGAATGATTTGGGACCACAAAACAAAAGGGCACATCAATGCCACTCAGTGTGGAGAAAGTAAAGACAAGAAACTGAGGACAGAGTACAAAAGGGAAGAAAAATGCCTTCCATGACCATCAGACTTCATTACCCAGAAGAAAGCTGTCAGGAGCGGGAAAAGTCTCCAGAGCACAGTTAAACTACAGGTGAAGGCAAACACCAAAAAAGCATTAGCTGGGATTCATCAGGGTGGGATCTCTCCACTCTCGCCTTGCTAGGGTTACACAGAGCAGCACCCGAGCCTGCTCTCCTGCACAAACACTGCTCCTCCCTCATTTTAGTGAGCTTCCATTTGCAGATACCCTGAGCTTAGCTCTGCTACCTGTATATATCCCGGGCCATTCCAAAGTCTCCAATTTTAGCCACTCTCCCAGGCCCTCGACAGGTAAGGAGGCAGTTCCTGGCAGCAATATCCCTACAAGGAAAGGGAAGAAAAGCAACAGAAAGAGAAGAACCACTTAATCATTCAACAATTTTGCAAGCCAAAAAGAAAACAAAGAATAGTACCTACTTTCCTGAGCTGCAGAGAGCCCACAACAGCCAGAAAAGTCAGTGTTTATGGATAACTAGTGATGTCCCAAATTCCAATCTACCCCAACAGCAGGAGCAGTTCTGCTCTTTAACATTTCCTCTTTAAACTTCATGTAACATCTTTCTGAAAGGATGGGCCTTCTGTGAGCCTCCCTTCACCCCAGGAGCTATTTTTAAGTCTCTAAGGAGTTGCAAGCAGTGGGGCTAATTTCAGCAATGTACTAGTCCCAACATCAAGCTGTCTGGGGAATGATCCATTGACCTGTTCCTAGCGCGTTTGTTCAAATATTGTCAAACGGGTGTCATACAGTCAGAGACAGGAAGAACAACAATGTGCCGGTGTTGCTCTGAAGACTGAAGGTACGGGCCTCAATCTGTGTACGCAGGTAAAGCTCCAGCTCCACCTCTGCTGGGCTGAAGTAAACCTTGAGATCTGAATAACATGGTGGCATACCTTGTGGGTAACTCTTTCAGAAGAATGAACTACAATCTCTCTCTACTCATCTCTACTCAATGGGTAGAGTATTTTAGACACTTGCCAACACCCTGTTCTGCAGGAGCAGGTAACAACAGTCACGAGGTGTTGCACTTCTGGCTGTACTTGTACAGCCGTTCTTCGAGAGGAAGAAGAAGAGGGTTCCAGAATGAGCAGAAAGGCACTAAGCAAAATTAATGACAGGGAGAGCTTTGAAGACTTCTGTCATGAGATTGTGTTTCCATTTGCAGAGTAGCCAAACAGGCTGCACAAGTGCAGGCACTGAGATAGAGCTCAGGATCTTTGGTAAAATGAAAGATCTCTGCAACATCATTTATAGCAGCTTTTCTGTTAATTTCTTTTATTATTCTGATTTTGTCTACCTTGTTTAAAGGTATCCAGCCACTAGAGTGCAGCAGGACATAAACATATCAAGCAGGGCATTACGAGTCCGTGCTGGCCTCTAGAGTGCAGCAGGACATAAACATATCAAACAGGGCATTACAAGTCCGTGCTGGCCCGTACGCAAGTCATGCCCATGGTGACACAGACGTGTTCACCTACCTGTGAATGAAGTGGTTCTCCTCCAGGTACTGACACCCACAAGCAATGTCACGAGCCACATGGAGCAAGTCCAGCATGGAAAGGGAGGAGGGCTGATTCTATCAAAAGACAAGGGACAAACGTGGGTTAAAAGCAAGAACATGGCATGATTCGTCACTGATACAGTGCTGGGAACTCTCCAACAAGTGACGTAGCTCAGATGTTAATACACAAAGGGATTACAAAAATGCACAAGAGAGAGTTCATATCCATGAACTATGCAAAGGATGTGCAGGCACGATGTCATACAAATCCCAGGGACAGAATCAGAACAGCTGGATCCGACTTCCCAGCTCCATTGGACAAATCCCAGGGACAGAATCAGAACAGCTTCCCAGCTCCATTGTGATGCCCCTGTAAGAATTTCCCCCAGTTCTCATGGGAGACGCTTCTGAATTTTCAGCATGATTTTTGAGGAGATCTGTAGCCTGAACTGGTCCTTACACTCAGTTTCTTTGTATTATTGCTAGCTCTGCTCTAAAGTCACCTTGAACAATGAGAATGACATTTTAT